CTCTCTCTCCTTTCCTTTCATATCTCCCTATCTTCGTCTTCGTCTCCCTACCCCTCTTTATCTCCTTATCACTTCCCTATGCCACACACGCCTTTGATACATAATGTATCAAAACTGTAATACCTATATTTACTTTTTGGAAAGTAAGATGTCAGTGAGCTCTGTTGTGTGATATAAACACTGCAGCACACAGTTCATGTAGCACGTGTTGCCCAAGTTTGGTAGACCCTGAAAAAAGAGGTGCAAAGAGTAAAAATTTTGGTTTCAAGGTATTACCAAGAGTCTTCGTTTTCTATCATAACTTACTGAAACGAATCAGACCATAAAATTACGAGGAATTTACTTAACAAACGAATTGTATCTTGTAAGTAGATTTGACAACAGTCCGCGTGGAATATCAGCTACTTGAGCCCTCCGCCAATCACACACCTTTTTTTATTAATATTATTTTTTGTCTCAAATTTAGTTGTGTGTCTAAACCCACTTCATGAGCTCTTTCCGTCAAAACTGCACCTCGGATTAAATTTATTTGTTGGTGCTAATCATCAAATTTTACCAAAGACCAGACATGGGAAATAAAAGATGCTTGATTGCAAAATGATCAGAGGTTCACCTTCCTGATCGAACATGGACATTAGATTCAACACAGCAGACGGTTAATCGTTCAAAATGGCTAAATAAACTCACCGAGAACTTCTGGAACGTCTTGTGTTGTGTATCTTGGCGCGTCTCCTGAAAGTATGAAATTAAAGAATGAAAGCAGCCATGTGCTCCGACTTTATGTAACAGATTAATTCCAGAGCCATAGACGTTATTTCAGGCTACCATCAATGTGAAACTTTAATAGGGATCTTTGTGTAAAACATTCATTGCCTTTGTTTTATATTGAATGTTTTCTTTAAATGGACTAATTTCTAATGTATATACTATGTGTGTGTGTGCGCAGGCGTGTAAAACAAATCAGACAATAAAATTACGACGAATTTACTCAACAAACGATTTTCATTTTACAAGTAGATTTGACAACAGTACGGATGAAATATCAGCTGATCGAGCCCTCGGCTAATCACGCGCTATTTCTCTCTCTCTCTCTCTCTTTCTCTCTCTCTCTCTCTCTCTCTCTCTCTCTCTCTCTGCCGCAAACACCTGCTGCTTTACCACTCTTCAGCTTGGAAATCGCCCTCTTGACTTCAGTCAGGGAGGGTGGATCCTCGCTGATGGGTGGGTCTGGCAGAGGAATCTCAACATTACCCGCAACTAAGTTAATTGTTGGTGGATCAACCTGATACAACTGCATAAAATACTCAACACAATGCACCCGTACCCCATCAGGATCTGAGATTATCTGGCCACTTGCTGAGTAGATTGCAGTCGTCTGTGAGGAGGGCTTGGAGTTCAGCTTTCTCAGGGCTTGGTAGGCAGGATGAAAGTCATTTACTAGGAAATGGCTTTCGACCTCCTCTGCAAGATTCTTGATAAACTGTTCCTTATCCCTTCTCTACAGTGACCTAGTCCTGTGACCAGGGAACGGTGCAGTTGCGATCCCCTGACAATCAAGCCGCACGACAAGCATCTGTGGCTTCCAGTGTCTCCTGCGAGATAAAATTCTGTCTTGCTCTTGGGCATTCACCAATTGATTCTTGGGCTGCACCAAACGCTTGAAGGTATCCCACAGAAGAACAGGGTACGTCAGGTCCTCGAGTACTGTGAGACGACCAGAAATAGCCTCACCAAACCCCTGGGCACACTCACCCTCCCTCAATCTGTCCACATTAAGCACACTAAGGTGTTCATTGGAGCGACGGGGGGTTCTAAAGTGGACCTGGAGAGTAGCCACAACTAATCTATGATCAGTTCCACAGAACTCGGCGCTCTGATACACCCTGCACTTCTGGAGGATCCTCCACCGAGTGCTGACGAGGATGTGGTCGATCTCCTTGGCCACATTACCCATATCGCTGTAGCATGTCCATTGATGCTGGTCAGAACACTGATACCAGAAGCCAGAAATCCTTAATTTCTGGGACCTAGCAAAGTCACGAAAAAGGAGGCTATTCTCACTGCCAGCATCAGCTCCTGAGCCATGAGGACCGACAGACATCTCGTAGCCAGCTCGATCGCAGCCAGATACCGCATTGAAGTCACCCAGAACAATACGAATATCTCGCCGAGGACAGCTGTCTGTCACAGACGCAAGTTTGGCATAAAACATCTCTTTCACCTCAAGTTTATACACATCCGTAGGAGTGTATACAGCAATAAGAGACATGAAGTCAAATATAATATAAGCTTTAGTCTCAGTACCATAATATGCTCATCGACTAGAGTGACCTCTACTACCGAGGTTGAAGTCTGCTGGAGATGGCTATGGTTACTCCCTGTAGATGGTAGCCATCTCTGCGGCCCGACCAGTAATAAATGCACTAATAGTGCCGCTGCCAGGTCTTCTCAGCCACCTCTACTCTCAACTGCTTCAATTCCCTCGACAGTAGTGGTAACCGATCTTCCTGTCGCAAGGAACGGATGTTCCAAGCCCCCACCCTGACAGCCCGCCTGAGGTCTAACCTCGGGCAATCACTCTGAGTGGGCGCCACCTCTGCCACCACTACCGACGCCGCGCCATATAGAGGGGTTTAGGTGGCTGCAGGTCATCTATGTGGAACTCTAATAGAGATCTTTGTGTAAAACATTCATTACCTTTGTTTTATATTGAATGTTTTCTTGAAATGGTCTAATTTCTAATGCATATACGCACACATACACAATAAAATTACGACGAATTTACTCAACAAACGAATTTCATTTTACAAGTAGATTTGACAACAGTACGAATGAAATATCAGCTGATTGAGCCCTCGGCTTATCACGTGCCATTTCTCTCTCTCTCTCTCTCTCACAGCAGACGGTCAATCGTTCAAAATGGCTAAATAAACTCACCGAGAACTTCTGGAACTTCTTGTGTTGTGTATCTTCTTGGCGTGTCTCCTGAAAGTATGAAATGAAAGAATGAAAGCAGCCATGTGCTCCGACTTGGTATAACAGATTAATTCCTGTGCCATAAACATTATTTCAGGCTGCCATCAATCATCATCATCGTCATTGGGGAGCTAACGGCGGCGGCGGTGGAACTCTAATAGGGATCTTTGTATAAAACATCCATTACCTTTGTTTTATAATGAATGTTTTCTTTGAATGGTCTAATTTCTAATGTATGTATATATAGTATGGAGAGGCAGACTAACACAGTAATGAAAAATTTCATATTCATTAGACGTTTCGAAGGTGAACATTAGACCTCCATCATCAGTAAAATTGTACAAAAAAGACCCATTGAAAACGTCAGTTGGACAATTATGAATACGGATATATAGGTTCTGAACAATTTGCAAATACGTAAAAATAGCTAAGAACAATATATACAAAGGCATAATGAAATCATAAAAAAGAACGACATACAATGAAAAATAACATATACAAGAAAAAACTATAAGGATAAGGCCGATATGCGAAGCTGAGCCTCGCCCGGGCTATGGGGGAGCCCGGCCTGTGCCGATTAATGTCGACTCGCTAACAGTGTGTCAGCAGATGCTGACTCGGATGAGCTTAGTCCTTACCCACCGTGGTGCCCAGCCACAGCAGTAACCTCCAGGCGACAATTGCAACTTCTCGCGCCTGGGCGGGGCGCGAACCGCCGACCGCTCGGATGAGAGGCCGACACGTTACCACTGTACTAGCCCGGAGGCTAAAAAACTATAAACAACCAAAAAAGGTTACTAAAACTTTTCTTTGTAAAATATTCTCAAAACAACCCATTGTCCCTGGGGAGTTTAAGCTTTGATATCAGGAAGCAACTAAAATCACTGTTACTAAATAATTACCCTCAAATTAAATTCACTTTTGTATTCACTAACACTAACAATGTAGCCAAATTTCTAAAACAACCTTTGAGATGTAACTGACATGTGTTCTAACGTAGTGTACTTATTTACCTGTCCTTGCTGCCAAGCTCGGTTACGTGGGATCTACCTCATGATGGTTACAACACCTCATCCTAGAACACAAAGACAAATCCCTCTGGACTGGTGGCCTTCCGCTGAGCAAACCATCTTTCTCGGCAATAAGAGAACACTCCACTTTACTCCACTCACACTCTTTCTCCTACACAGATTTTAGTATTTTATCTTCCCATATCTCCCGTCCAGACCTTATCATCTCCGAATCCCTACACATATCAATAGTTTTTCCCTCTCACCAACACCCACTTTGGTTAGTTTACCTTTTTTGGTTGTTTAAAGGATTTTTTTTCTTGTATATTTCATTTTTCATTTTATATCGTTTTTTTATTATTTCATTATGCCTTTGTATATATTGTTTTAAGCTATTTCTACGTATTTGCAAATAGTTCAGAACCTATATATCCATATTCATAATTATCCAACTAACTTTTTCAATGGTTCTTTTTGACAGTTTTACTGATGATGGAGGTCTAATGTTCACCTTCGAAACGCCTAATATGAAATTCTTCACTACTGTCTTAGTCTACCTCTTCATACTTACGATTACGATGCCTGAGTGGCAAATCTATCACAGAATACACACACACACACACACATATATATGTGTATGTGTTTGTAAAACAAATCAGACAATAAAATTACGACGAATTTACTCAACAAACGAAATTCACTTTACAAGTAGATTTGACAACAGTACGGATGAAACATCAGCTGGTTGAGCCCTCGGCTAATCACGCGCCATTTCTCTCTCTCTCTCTCAAATTTAGTTCTGTGTTTAAACCCACTTCATGAGCTCTTTCCGTCGAAACTGCATTTCGGATTAAATTTATTTGTTGGTGATAATCATCAAAGGCCAGACATGGGGAATAAAAGGTGCTTAATTGCAAAATGATCAGAGGTTCACCTTCCTGGTCGAACCTGGTCAATAGATTCAACACAGCAGACGGTTAATCCAAAATGGCTAAATAAACTCACCGAGAACTTCTGGAACTTCTTGTGTTGTGTATCTTCTTGGCGCGTCTCCTGAAAGTATGAAATGAAAGAATGAAAGCAGCCATGTGCTCCGACTTGGTATAACAGATTAATTCCTGTGCCATAAACGTTATTTCAGGCTGCCATCAATCATCATCATCGTCATTGGGGAGCTAACGGCGGCGGCGGTGGAACTCTAATAGGGATCTTTGTATAAAACATCCATTACCTTTGTTTTATAATGAATGTTTTCTTTGAATGGTCTAATTTCTAATGTATGTATATATAGTATGGAGAGGCAGACTAACACAGTAATGAAAAATTTCATATTCATTAGACGTTTCGAAGGTGAACATTAGACCTCCATCATCAGTAAAATTGTACAAAAAAGACCCATTGAAAACGTCAGTTGGACAATTATGAATATGGATATATAGGTTCTGAACAATTTGCAAATAGTTCAGAACCTATATATCCATATTCATAATTATCCAACTAACTTTTTCAATGGTTCTTTTTGACAGTTTTACTGATGATGGAGGTCTAATGTTCACCTTCGAAACGCCTAATATGAAATTCTTCACTACTGTCTTAGTCTACCTCTTCATACTTACGATTACGATGCCTGAGTGGCAAATCTATCACAGAATACACACACACACACATATATGTGTGTGTGTGTTTGTAAAACAAATCAGACAATAAAATTACGACGAATTTACTAAACAAACGAAATTCACTTTACAAGTAGATTTGACAACAGTACGGATGAAACATCAGCTGGTTGAGCCCTCGGCTAATCACGCGCCATTTCTCTCTCTCTCTCTCAAATTTAGTTCTGTGTTTAAACCCACTTCATGAGCTCTTTCCGTCGAAATTGCATATCGGATTAAATTTATTTGTTGGTGATAATCATCACAGGCTAGACATGGGAAAGAAAAGGTGCTTAATTGCAAAATGATCAGAGGTTCACCTTCCTGGCCGAACCTGGACATTACATTCAACACAGCAGACGGTTAATCCAAAATGGCTAAATAAACTCACCGAGAACTTCTGGAACTTCTTGTGTTGTGTATCTTCTTGGCGCGTCTCCTGAAAGTATGAAATGAAAGAATGAAAGCAGCCATGTGCTCCGACTTGGTATAACAGATTAATTCCTGTGCCATAAACGTTATTTCAGGCTGCCATCAATCATCATCATCGTCATTGGGGAGCTAACGGCGGCGGCGGTGGAACTCTAATAGGGATCTTTGTATAAAACATCCATTACCTTTGTTTTATAATGAATGTTTTCTTTGAATGGTCTAATTTCTAATGTATGTATATATAGTATGGAGAGGCAGACTAACACAGTAATGAAAAATTTCATATTCATTAGACGTTTCGAAGGTGAACATTAGACCTCCATCATCAGTAAAATTGTACAAAAAAGACCCATTGAAAACGTCAGTTGGACAATTATGAATACGGATATATAGGTTCTGAACAATTTGCAAATACGTAAAAATAGCTAAGAACAATATATACAAAGGCATAATGAAATCATAAAAAAGAACGACATACAATGAAAAATAACATATACAAGAAAAAACTATAAGGATAAGGCCGATATGCGAAGCTGAGCCTCGCCCGGGCTATGGGGGAGCCCGGCCTGTGCCGATTAATGTCGACTCGCTAACAGTGTGTCAGCAGATGCTGACTCGGATGAGCTTAGTCCTTACCCACCGTGGTGCCCAGCCACAGCAGTAACCTCCAGGCGACAATTGCAACTTCTCGCGCCTGGGCGGGGCGCGAACCGCCGACCGCTCGGATGAGAGGCCGACACGTTACCACTGTACTAGCCCGGAGGCTAAAAAACTATAAACAACCAAAAAAGGTTACTAAAACTTTTCTTTGTAAAATATTCTCAAAACAACCCATTGTCCCTGGGGAGTTTAAGCTTTGATATCAGGAAGCAACTAAAATCACTGTTACTAAATAATTACCCTCAAATTAAATTCACTTTTGTATTCACTAACACTAACAATGTAGCCAAATTTCTAAAACAACCTTTGAGATGTAACTGACATGTGTTCTAACGTAGTGTACTTATTTACCTGTCCTTGCTGCCAAGCTCGGTTACGTGGGATCTACCTCATGATGGTTACAACACCTCATCCTAGAACACAAAGACAAATCCCTCTGGACTGGTGGCCTTCCGCTGAGCAAACCATCTTTCTCGGCAATAAGAGAACACTCCACTTTACTCCACTCACACTCTTTCTCCTACACAGATTTTAGTATTTTATCTTCCCATATCTCCCGTCCAGACCTTATCATCTCCGAATCCCTACACATATCAATAGTTTTTCCCTCTCACCAACACCCACTTTGGTTAGTTTACCTTTTTTGGTTGTTTAAAGGATTTTTTTTCTTGTATATTTCATTTTTCATTTTATATCGTTTTTTTATTATTTCATTATGCCTTTGTATATATTGTTTTAAGCTATTTCTACGTATTTGCAAATAGTTCAGAACCTATATATCCATATTCATAATTATCCAACTAACTTTTTCAATGGTTCTTTTTGACAGTTTTACTGATGATGGAGGTCTAATGTTCACCTTCGAAACGCCTAATATGAAATTCTTCACTACTGTCTTAGTCTACCTCTTCATACTTACGATTACGATGCCTGAGTGGCAAATCTATCACAGAATACACACACACACACACACATATATATGTGTATGTGTTTGTAAAACAAATCAGACAATAAAATTACGACGAATTTACTCAACAAACGAAATTCACTTTACAAGTAGATTTGACAACAGTACGGATGAAACATCAGCTGGTTGAGCCCTCGGCTAATCACGCGCCATTTCTCTCTCTCTCTCTCAAATTTAGTTCTGTGTTTAAACCCACTTCATGAGCTCTTTCCGTCGAAACTGCATTTCGGATTAAATTTATTTGTTGGTGATAATCATCAAAGGCCAGACATGGGGAATAAAAGGTGCTTAATTGCAAAATGATCAGAGGTTCACCTTCCTGGTCGAACCTGGTCAATAGATTCAACACAGCAGACGGTTAATCTCAAAATGGCTAAATAAACTCACCGAGAACTTCTGGAACTTCTTGTGTTGTGTATCTTCTTGGCGTGTCTCCTGAAAGTATGAAATGAAAGAATGAAAGCAGCCATGTGCTCCGACTTTATGTAACAGATTAATTCCAGTGCCATAGACGTTATTTCAGGCTGCCATCAATCATCATCATCATTGGGAAGCTAACGCCGGCGGTGGTGGAACTCTAATAGGGATCTTTGTGTAAAACATCAATTACCTTTGTTTTATACTGAATGTTTTCTTTGAATGGTCTAATTTCTAATGTTTATATATAGTATGAAGAGGCAGACTAACACAGTAATGAAGACTTTCATATTCATTAGACGTTTCGAAGGTAAACATTAGACCTCCATCATCAGTAAAACTGTAAAAGAAAGAGCCATTGAAAACGTCAGTTGGACAATTATGAATATGGATATATAGGTTCTGAACAATTTGCAAATACGTAAAAATAGCTAAGAACAATATATACAAAGGCATAATGAAATCATGAAAAAGAACGATATACAATGAAAAATAACATATACAAGAAAAAACCTTACCCACCGTGGTGCCCAGCCACAGCAGTAACCTCCAGGCGACAATTGCAACTTCTCGCGCCTGGGCGAGGCGCGAACCGCCGACCCCTCGGATGAGAGGCCGACACGTTACCACTGTACTAGCCCGGAGGCTAAAAAACTATAAACAACCAAAAAAGGTTATTAAAACTTTTCTTTGTAAAATATTCTCAAAACAACCCATTGTCCCTGGGGAGTTTAAGCTTTGATATCAGGAAGCAACTAAAATCACTGTTACTAAATAATTACCCTCAAATTAAATTCACTTTTGTATTCACTAACACTAACAATATAGCCAAATTTCTAAAACAACCTTTGAGATGTAACTGACATGTGTTCTAACGTAGTGTACTTATTTACCTGTCCTTGCTGCCAAGCTCGGTTACGTAGGATCTACCTCATGATGGTTACAACACCTCATCCTAGAACACAAAGACAAATCCCTCTGGACTGGTGGCCTTCCGCTGAGCAAACCATCTTTCTCGGCAATAAGAGAACACTCTCTACTCCACTCACACCCTTTCTCCTACACAGATTTTAGTATTTTATCTTCCCATTCCTCCCGTCCAGACCTCATCATCTCCGAATCCCTACACATATCAATAGTTTTTCCCTCTCACTAACACCCACTTTGGTTAGTTTACCTTTTTTGGTTGTTTAAAGGATTTTTTTCTTGTATATTTTATTTTTCATTGTATATCGTTTTTTATTATTTCATTATGCCTTTGTATATATTGTTTTTAGCTATTTCTACGTATTTGCAAATAGTTCAGAACCTATATATCCATATTCATAATTATCCAACTAACTTTTTCAATGGTTCTTTTTGACAGTTTTACTGATGATGGAGGTCTAATGTGAAATTCTTCACTACAGTCTTAGTCTACCTCTTCATACTTACGATTACGACGCCTGAGTGGCAAACCTATCACAGAATACACACACACACACACACACACACACACACACACACACATATATGTGTGTGTGTGTTTGTAAAACAAATCAGACAATAAAATTACGACGAATTTACTAAACAAACGAAATTCATTTTACAAGTAGATTTGACAACAGTACGGATGAAACATCAGCTGGTTGAGCCCTCGGCTAATCACGCGCCATTTCTCTCTCTCTCTCTCTCTCTCAAATTTAGTTCTGTGTTTAAACCCACTTCATGAGCTCTTTCCGTCGAAATTGCATATCGGATTAAATTTATTTGTTGGTGATAATCATCACAGGCTAGACATGGGAAAGAAAAGGTGCTTAATTGCAAAATGATCAGAGGTTCACCTTCCTGGCCGAACCTGGACATTAGATTCAACACAGCATACGGTTAATCCAAAATGGCTAAATAAACTCACCGAGAACTTCTGGAACTTCTTGTGTTGTGTATCTTCTTGGCGCGTCTCCTGAAAGTATGAAATGAAAGAATGAAAGCAGCCATGTGCTCCGACTTTATGTAACAGATTAATTCCAGAGCCATAGACGTTATTTCAGGCTAAGTTAATGTGGAAATTTAATACTGATCTTTGTGCAAAACATTGGTTACCTTTTTTATACTGAATGGTTTTCTTTAAATGGTCTAATTTCAAAGTGTGTAAATACACACATACACACAGACACACATACATACATACATATATATATATATATATATATATATATATATATATATATATTAACCAACTTTAAATAAAAAAAATAAAAGCATTGAAATACACACACATATACATGAATGTAAATATATATATATATATATATATATATATATATATATATATATATATATATATATACATATATATACATATATACATATATATATACATATATATATACATATATATATACATATATATATATACATATATATATACATATATATATATGCATATATATATACATATATATATATATATATATATATATATATATATATATATATATATATATATATATATATATGATATATATGTATATATATATATTAACCAGATAAAAAAAAATCTTGAAACGCACGCACATCACACAAGTACACACAGAAATTGAAAATAGATAATAGACGCACCCTTTCACTCTTCCTTTTGAACGATCCTGAAGGAAGCGAAGTAGGATGCCTGTTTCCTTGTTTAAACGTCCTGTTGTCTTGGGAAACGTTTCGACTGGTTGGTGTAGGTCTTGTCTGGAAATCTGTGGTCTGTGGATGTTCGTCTAATTAATATAAACGACTTTTAGAAAAGAGTCATTTTATAGTACATAATTATAATGAGGTAATTGTAATAGTTACAGTTAGTATTATTTTCATTATAGTACTGTTGGTGAGACTACTGCCATCATTATGAAAACACACACATGCAAATACATACTACATATAAGATAATATCTAAATGAGGATCTGTAGTAAATATTCGAACAGCCAGGAAAACGATGCAAGGTAGATAAATTACTTATTTTCCAAAAGATTAAAAAGCGGTTTGTTTTCGGATTATCCATATATAGCAGGGGTTGATAAACACTTGAGCCGTTTTTAGTTTTGGGGTCGAAAGTTGATATGCGTATGAGAAATAATAATAAATGAAACATAGTTATGTTAATTCATATATAATTTCAAATCTATATATAATTAGTTCATATAGTATATTAATTACACTTCTGTTAGTGAAACACAATGAGAATAATATAGTTATAATAATTTATCAAGATTTAGAATAGGACGTTATTAATACTCGTACTACCTGTGTGAATTGTGGTGTTCTGGTAACGTTCTCGTCTGACAAGCTTGTTGCGCTGCGTTCGAATCCCTCGTCGCCAGCGGATGAAACAGACAGCATGCCACACTAAGCATAACCGATGTAAATAATGGAATGAAAAGAAATTATTAAAATTATTAGATTATTATTACGTTTCCACATGAATGCATGTTGTTCATCGTCGTTATTGGAATCATGTAACATCCTAAAACATTTGAACTTTGCCTTAGCTTTATTTTGGTATGCAGTTTCTCTCACTAATGATATATGGAAACAGCACATCTACTTTATTATCACTACATATTTTCTTGTATGTATATTTTCTACCTTCTGAAGAACGACAAAGACAGAAAATTCCACTTCACTAAATGAGGTACATTGAAAAGCGACCCAAAAATTTACGAATTCATTCTGACGATGAAGCCCAGGATTTTTGTTCCCCCTTTCAATAAATCAATTTTGGAAGTGTTTTTTTTTATCACTCTATTTCCAATTTCACAATAACGGCCGATGAATATAAATTTTAAAGTTGAATTTCCTCCCATTCACCAACAGCACTGCCCTCGTCTTCTACTAATCTACATGCCTATAAAACACGGGAAAACGAAGGATGAAGTAAAAACGCACCCCTAACATTTCTTCCTTGGCATTTGGTGAATAAAGGAGAGACCCCTTCCGCTTCGTCTTGCCTGCTGAACTGTCATCTTGGATAGCATTATATTGACGAGTCGCCTGGGAATACAGCTGAACAAAAAACATGGAAGATCGAGATTAATGAGGCTAACTAATAAAATCAAGGTAATTTGATTCATACTAATATCAATAATGGTTGCATAATGGTGATTACCATCACAGTTGATAATACAATCATTACCTTTACTACCAATGTACTTTAAGATAGCACCACTCCATCAATGAAAATCTTAGCTGTCTACTGCCAAGTATTAAAAAAAGTTTCTTATTCATTTCTTTCGTGCATTCTTTTCTTGTTTCTTATCACCATCGTCATTGTTGAACTATTTTTAAAGAAAATATACTGAAGAGCACCCTACAACAGCACACAGGTTGACAAGGACAAAAAGAGGCAGAATTTTCATCCA